CAGGGACTGAGCCAGCACCTCACATCAAATACAGGGGGAATCTGTTCTGGTCCTGTATCTGCCCTTGCAGCTCATCTGTGTCCATAATGAACATCTCTGCAGTGAGCCTCTCCATCATCCTCGTTGCTGCTCTCTTTTCTCAGGCCTCTCCTGCTCCAAGTGAGTACCTGCAGCATCTCCTTCTGCTCTCTTGGGGTGGGTTTTTGCTATGGCTGGCAGTAATTTCGAAGCAGAACTGGAAAAAGTTAGCTGCAGAGGCTGGAAACCTGTGTGAATAGTTTCTCCTGCTCTCTTGGGACTCGTCCTCCTTTCTAACATCCTTTTATCTTAGGGATGAATTTTACTGCTAAGTGTTGAAGTTTTCAGGTTTCATCTCCCCTGATTTTGTTGTTGGGCTTTATGAGTGGTCCCAGGGGGACTGAAAGGATTTTTATCATTGGAAGTGAGTGCAAGGCATTTTACACACAATCCTAGCAATTACTTTAATTAAGCTTTGGTGTTCACAGCAGTTCTTTGCTGGCTTTCTGAGGAAACAAGAAAGGAAGTGGGCTCCAGAGCTGATTTAAGGGGACTGCTGCCCATGCTCTCAGCTGGTGGACGTGCAGTTTATTAAGTGGGAGACTCATGCTGGCTTTCCTGATCTCTTCCAGTTGGGGCTGACACAACTGTGTGCTGCTTCAGCTACGCCTCACGAAAGCTGCCCCAGAGTCATGTGAAGGATTATTTCTACACCAGCAGCAAGTGCTCACAGCCAGCAGTCGTGTACGTACCAGCTCCTGCTCTGGGTTCTGGGAAAAGGTTCTGCCAGCCTTTGGGATCTTTGCTTCAGATCCAGTGGTGCCTAGGTCACAGTGATGTGAGGAACCATACCTGGAGTAAGGGAAGGGGGTGACCCAAGGCCCTCTTGTCCCACTGCCCCTCCAGGGCTATAAAACTTCCCTGCTTCACCTGACAGGTTCGTCACCAGGAAGGACCGGGAGGTCTGTGCTAACCCTGATGCCAGGTGGGTGAAGGAATATGTGGACACCCTGGAGCTGCAGTGAGCGCTGGGAGCTGAGAGGTCTCTTCCTCGAAGAAGTCCTGCAACCCAATCCAGCAGAGTCTTGGCACAGACCTAGAAATGCTGCTGCTGAATACCAGGACTTGTGGAGCCATCCTGGGGCCCCTTAAGTTCCTCCTGTCTTGCAAAGGTGCCATTTACCCATGATAATTTAGCCACCCTTATGGGCAGCTGTGATGCTGGCGACCTTCTGGCCTTGCAGACCCATCTTGCATAGCCTGCTGTGTAATGTGGTTAAACTGTCTCTTCCTCATGCCTCCACTGCTAGAATGGAAGGGGGGTTTATCCCTAGAGCTATCTGTGGGAAGTGGTCAGTTGAAATTAAGTGTGAGTGCTGTCATGTAAACCTAGGCTGACTTTCAAGTCAGCTGGCTGAACTTTGCTATGGTAGGGTAGATGCTGTGAGCAAGATCTGTCTCCCTGGCAGAGGAAATGGTATGCTTGTTACTTACAGGATGCTTATTGTGGAACCACATTGTTCAGCCTCATTTCAAAATGCCTCTTGCTGGTGCCAAAGAATAAAGATGTTTTTCTCTCTGTGTGTCAGCTCTGGAAGATGATGATCCCCTCCTGCCTGGGAAAAGGGGTAATAGGACCCCACTACAACCATTTTGAGAGAGGCAAAACCTCAGCCACCTTATCCCTGAAAACTTTCCCTTCTGCACCACATCTCTGCTCCCAGCGCCACAGCAGCAGCAGCAGCCCCAGCACCACACCAGCACCTCCAGGGTTGTTGCCTCCCAGCCTCCATGCTCCTGCGGACCCAGAGCTCTCCCCCAGCCCTTCCCCCCCCCCCCCCCCATATTATCAGCAGCCAAGACCAGGGGCTGGTGGAGCTGGACCCACTGGATTTGCCACTGTGAATTTGGCAAAGGGATGTCTGGAAGTCAGAGGGTGGGGATACAGCAGCATCACTGCTCAAAGGAGAGCCAGAACCACATACCCAGCACAGGCTCTTCTGGGGATGCAGCCTGAGCTGTGCCCAGCTCTGGGTACACTCTTGTCAGTGTTTTGCTGAAAAAGACAGGCACCAATGATCTGCTGTTCTTCAGCTGGTTTGGGAAGGAAACACAAATTTGGTTTGAAAAAGCACAAAAGATCTTTTGCACTGCAAAACCAAAAGCACTTTATCAGCCTATGGCTTGCTTTTAAAAGGGTGACAATCACCAACGGCACACCTGAAATACCCCGAAGTAGCTCTCAAAGGAGCCTAACTGCTCTGCAGGCTGGGCAGGTAGCTCAGCAGGAGAAAAGAGGTACAAGGTTCTGGTTTGCAACCCTGCAAAGCAGCTCTGGCAGAGCAGGAGACAAGAGGGACCACGGGATATAGCCTGGATCTCAGGGGAAGCAGGGAAGGGATATAAAATCAGCCAGGTCTTCCCAAACATGAGAATAATCAAGCAGTACTCATGTTGGCTTGCTTTCATACAGTGGCTGCTTGAGCACTTCTCAGAAAGCCTTTAAGCGTTGCTATCCCCCACTTGCAACTGGGAAACTGAGGCACAAGCTTGTCATTGAGGGGTCAAGCTGGGTGAGGCGGGCTGATGGGGCTGGCGTTCCTTGGGGCCACAGGACTGTAAAGAGAGAAGTGAGCAGTCCACAACACCAAAATCATTCCTTTGCAAGAGGAGCAGAATGTGCTGGGGGCCAGAGCTGGAGCACTGGGGACCAGGCGGGGGTGGCCATCTCAGTATCCCCAGAACGTTCACAAATGCCTTCACCCAGATGGCATCAGGGTCAGCACAGACCTGGTGTTTCTTCCTGGTGGCGAAGCTCGGAAGTGGGGAGGACCAGGAAACCTTTGTGGTCACTACAAGGCTGGGGAATATCCTTTTTTGACCGTTGTCTTGTGTGAAGGGAACTAGCCAAGCTCTGGGAAACCAGAGACGGGCCCTGGGTCAGAATCCTGGCTCTGCCTCAACTTGCTGCTGGCTCCGGCAGGCAGGGAGAAGGACCAAGGACCGCAGACCCAAGCGGCCACTGCAGAGCATGTGGTAGGTGTCTCCTGGGGCAGGCACCTCCTTGGTATTTCTCTGCTGTGCACCAAGCACCTCGCCTGGGAGCATTTCCTCAGCTGGGCTGGGGCAGCTGCAGCCTCTCCTCCTCCCTCTGCTCCCATCCCAGCTTCAGCATGGGCAGGTCCTTCTCAACCACCTCCTAACACCTGGAAAGCATCTCTCCCTGCCAGGACAGGGTGATGGCCAATCCCAGATAACACCCCAACAAATCCCAGGGTTGGTTCCAAAAGGAAGCACTGGTGGGCTTATGCCAGGGGAGGTGGGTCTGGGACAGGGGGAGCAGGGCCTCTAGGGCAGGCTGGCTTGGCTGCTGATCCCGGAGCTTCAGGATGGAAACTGAAACCAGAAAGGCTGGAGAAGAAAATTCCCACATGTGCCTGGGCTCCTGGCCAGGGACTGCCCGAAGAGCCAGCATCAGTGCTGAGTGTTCCAGCTTCTCCGGGCTGTCCCTGCAGCGCTCCCATCCACCATGACACCCATCGTCAGTCCCCTCGCAGCGCACGGAACCCCAGATCGGGGACTGTTTTCAGTTCCTGCAGTTCGTCCTCAGCATCAAACTGGGCTTCTCAGCCCAAACAGCAACTGAGTGCGCAGCAGGCATGGAGAGAATGGGATGCTCTTGGGGTAGAGGAGACCCCCTGCACCCTGTTCCTGGGCTCCCTGCTGTCCACCCGTGGGCAGCAGCTCCTGCCCACCCACCCCACCACGCAGCAGCAGTGGCTGCTCCCGTGTTTCACAGCACAGTGGAGAAGCCCGCTCAGGATACGGCTCTCTGCAGGTCTCAGTCTCTGCCCCAGGATGGTAAGCCCCCGCCACGGAGCAGTACAAGATGTTTCCAGGTGCGCTGACCCATCTTGTCCCTGCTTGGGCATGACCTGACCTTTTCTGCTGGGACCCTGCAGGGTTGTCAGTGTGTCTTCCCAAAGCACCCTCCCAGCAGAGCCATCTCCGTGGAACAGGGGCTCTCCACGTGGTGGCCCTTCACCTGCATCATCTCCTGGGACACAACACTGGGCCCTGGGCTGGGTTTGCCCTTTGCTGTGAAGGCAAACTCGTCAGGTGCACTGTAAGCACTCCTGCCTGCAGCCAGCTTTCCATCCTGGAAAAGGCAAGACTAGAGGGAAATCACAAGACAACATGCAAGTGCTTTCCCAGCCTCAGTGTGGCCAAGTCCGATCTATAGCTACCGGGAAAAAAGAAGCAATAAGAGAAAGGTTTTTGTTTGCATTAGGAGGAGAAAAGGATGGCTGCAAGGCCAGGCGAGCTTCAGGTGACCGTGCTGTTGGGGGATGTCTTCTCGATCTGCAGAATCACAGGAGTGCTGAACACGTTTGCAATGGGAAAGCTGTGCTCAGCACTGTGCTTTTACCCTTTGGACCTGCTCCCTTCCATTCGTGTTCCCATGCAAAGCTGTGTCCTGGGAATGTCCGCAGCAGGTTTGCTGGTGGCTGTTTTACTCCTGCAGCATAGCTGACCCCTTCCCTTTGTTTCACAGGAACAACCGCCATCGAGACGGTCAGAAAGAAAGCTGGGGTCCCTGCCCCTCTCCTGGCAGCACTACTGGGCTAGGCAGGACAGTGTGTATGCGGGTGCCTGTGGGCTCTTTGCTGGGGAACACTGATGCAAGCATATGGGACATGCCTGTGGTGTGTGTACAGCATGTTCACGTATGTAAGAGGCTCATCGTTGCATAGAAACACGTCTAATTCTGTATAGGATGTGGGAGGCTGGGCTGTATGTGGTGGGGAACAAGATGTCAGAGGATGTTCATGTGTCTGCAGTATGGAAACTTCATGGTTTTGCCTCAAACCATTTCCCATCATCACATGCCATATAGAACGCGCAGACAGGCTTAGGGTGAGGTTCTGTCTCTCTGCTGGTGAGCACCACACAGAGGCATATAAAGGGAAAAAAACAGAGGGTTTGTCTAAATTCTTTATTCTCCAGAATCATGATTTCATACATATAAGCCAGGGCCACTCATCATCCAATGCTGAGACTCTGAGCCACCCTCACTCAAATACCCTCCCTGCCACTATCCCATAAATAGCATCATTACCCACAGAAGAAAGTACTGCCTATCCAATATGACAATTTCTTAATAACTTAAAATGTTACAACAGAGGTGCAGTCCCACGGGCCATTCCAGGCCACAGGCAGAGGGGTCAGGGCAGATGGATGAGGTTGCAAACTAGCCCACACAGGCCAAGGGCAAGCAGCAGCACCCCAACACAAGGTGTCTTGTGGTGCCCTTCCAGTGGTTCCCTGTAGTAGCCTGCAGGTGACATGGGCTCAGCAGCTTCTGTTGCCCCAGTGTCCTGCTCCATCGCAGGAGCTCAGGAAAATGCAACTCCTGCATGACAGCAGCTATGCTTGCCATCTTGCTTTGCTCAGTTCAAGTTTTTCAGGTAAGCTTGAACCCAGGTGTGACTGGGATTGGCACAGACCTGGTGGCCTTTCTTTGTGATGAACCTGTGGAAGAGGGATGAGACATTAGATCTCAGCTCAAACTTGCACCTGGGAGATCCCAGATCCCAGCTTTGGGGCACTGCAAGAGGTTCTCCCACATGCCCTAAACTGATGCTGAAACCGATGGCTGTCTCTGTGTCCGGGGCTCAGCAGTAGCAGTCATTTTTTTCTGCTTCTTAGTATCTGGCGCAGTGCTGTGGTTTTGACTTTCGGTGGTAACACTGATGGTTTTAGTTACTGCTCAGTAATGTTTAGTCTGAGTCTCATGCTCTGCCAGGGAGGAGGGGAAGCTGGGAGGAAGCAGGCAGGACCCCTGACCCAAACTAGGCAAAGAGGTATTCCATACCACAGCACATCATGCCCAGTATATAAACTGGGGGCAGTTACCCAGAAGGTTGGGATCACTGCTCGGTCGTGCTGGGTATCAGTCGGCAGGTGGTGAGCGGTTGTATTCTCTTCCCTTCTTATTTCCCTTATCATTATTATTATTGGTGGTAGCAGCAGTGGTTTGTGTTATACCTTAGTTACTGGACTGCTCTTATCTCAACCCGTGGGAGTCACATTCTTTCCATTCTCCTGCCCATCCCTCAGGGAGCAGGGGGAGGAAGCAGGGGGAGTGAGAGAGCATCTGCATGGTTCTGGGTTGCCAGCTGGACGTAAACCACTACACTGTGATTTAAGGTAGAAGTTCCACCCTGTGAGGGTGCTGAGGCACTGGCACAGGGTGCCCAGAGAAGCTGTGGCTGCCCCATCCCTGGCAGTGTTCAAGACCAGGTTGGACACAGGGGCTTGGAGCAAGCTGCTCTAGTGGAAGGGGTCCCTGCCTCTGGCAGGGTGGAACTAGGTGAGATTTAAAGTCCCTTCTGACCCAAGCCAGGCTGGGATTCTATGATTTCCCCCATTTCATCCCTTTTCCTACACTGCCTCCTCAGCTCCTGCAGTAACATCCTTGTGCATCCCTGGCAGTCACTGTCCAAGCCCTTTCCCCTTGGGGTTCCCCTCACCGTGCTCTGTTCCTACAGACCCCTGTGCCCACAGCTGCCCTGGTCACTCCCACACGCACACTCCATAGGGACTGTTCCTGTGCTGCCCCGGCTTTTCCACACCCAGGAGTCAACACTGGTACTTACACGATGGCTGGCAGCATGCAGCTGGTGCTGGTGCTGTAATACCGCAGGATGCGCCTATGTGGGAGCTTGTGTGCTGTGTAGGAAAAGCAGCAGATTGGGACATCGGATCCAACTGCAAGAGGCAAGGAGAGACGATGTGAGCATGTGCTGGGCTGTGCATCAGGAGCAGCCAGCTCATCGGCTCATAGAGCTGTGCTGGTAGGGAAGGGAGTGAGGAATTAGAGAATAATTAAAATTGAAATGGACATTGGGGATCATCTGGTCCAATGCCAGGAACAGTACTGTTGAGTACTGGGGGAAATTCCCATGCAGTCATTGCTCAGAACTTCATTTCTCCAAACTTCATTTCTTCACCTCTTCCAGCCCCAGGGCAGAGACTGAAGTCTCCAGACTACAACCAGGAACCAGTACCCTGAGTCCAGGACAGATGGATGAACAGATGTGTGGATGCATGGATGGATGGATGGATGGATGGATGGATGGATGGATGGATGGATGATTTTCTAATTCTGGGGTTCCTACATGCAGCTGAGCTCAGTGCAGAGCGGAGACTGGTACATATGCTGAAAAATTCCCAGTCATCTGCCAGGGGAGCTCCATGGAGAATGAAACCAAAACCTCAGGTCTGTTCTTCACAAATGAAAAAGCAGGACTCACCTGGACCAGAGAAAGTCTGGGAGCAAGAAGCTGCAATGAGGAGAAGAGCAAAAACAGCTGCAGCGACCTTCATCTTCCCTTAGGTGAGGGCACTCAGAGCAGGACCAGAAGCTCTGGCAGATGAGGCTCAGACTGCAGCAGCTGGATTCAGCCCCTTTTTATTAGGGAGTTCTGGAGGTAGCTGGCAGAATCCCAAGTGGAAATTCCAGGATGACGAGAAAGGATGTCACGAAAGTGAAACAGACAAATGGAATCAGGTTTAAAAAAAAAAAAAAAAAGAAAAATCATAAAGAATGGGATTTGGTTCACATTGGATCCAAGTCTGCTGAGCTCTGACTCAGTGTTCATTTTCGGTTCTATGAAATCAAAAGGAAACTAAAATGTGCCAAGTGGCATGGCACTGTTTATCTGATCGGAAGGAGGGTTTTTCCCTGTGAGTCTGTTATAGCAGAAAGACACAATGCTTGCCTAGGATTATGCAACTCTGGAAAAAATGTCCCCAGAGGGGCAGGCTTCGAAACGTGCTCATGCTCTTTGTGTCGGGTGCTTATCAAAGGCTGTCAAACTGCAGCACACGGAGCTGAGAGGTGGCAGGACTGCAGGCGCTTTGCCCCTACCCATCCTGCAGTGCTGGGCTTAATGAGGAGCAGTGAGGAGCTGGGGCTGGAGGCACCCTGACGATCGGCCAGTCCAGCCCCTGCTCCAAGCAGGGTTAGTGGGAAGGCTGCCCAGGACCATGTCCCAATGGGCTTTGAGTATCTGCAGGACTCCACAGCCTCTCTGGGCAAACTGTTTCAGTGTTCAGTAATAAAGTTTTTTCTGGTGTTTAAACAGAATTTCTTGTTGCCTCTTGTCCTGTCATTGCACGCTACTGAGAAGAGTTGAGCTCTGCCTCTTTGCTTCCCACACACGTGTTGATGAGATCTCCCGGAGCTCTCTGCTGTCCGGGATGAACAATCCCAGCTCTCACAGCCTTCCTCCTAGGAGAGATGCTCCTGTCCCTTAGTAATTTCCGTGGCCTTTTGCTGAACTCTCTCCAATATGTCCATATGTCTCTTATGCTGGGGAGCCCAGAACTGGACCCAGCACTCTAAGAGCAGCTTCACCAGTGCTGAGCAGAGGGGAAGAATCACATCCCTTGTTGTGCTGGCAATGCTCCTAATGCACCGCAGGAGCCTGTTGGCCTTCTCTGTGGCAAGGGCAAGTTGTGCTCCTGTCTAATTTGGTGTCCACCAGGACTCCTGGGTCCTGTTACGTCAAACTGCTCTCCGGCTAGTCAGCACCAACACATGCTGGTGCATAGGAGCATCCCGCACCAGGGACAGGACTTTGTTGAGCTTCATGATTTTTTTTCTCCAGCCTGACAAGGTCCCTCTGGACAGCAGCATGTTCCTCTAGTGCGCCAGCCACTCCTTCCAGCTTTGCATCACCTGCAAATTTGGTGAGGGTGCGCTTTCTCCCAACATCCAGATCATTTAGATATTAAAGAGTACTGGCCCCAGTACTGATCCCTGGAGCTGCCCACTGGCAAATAGCCTCCACCTGGACTATGTACCATGTATCACAGCCCTCCAAGCCCAGCTGTTCAGCCAGTTCTCAGCCCCTTTCACTCCCATTTATCTAATCCGCACTTGGATCAGAGAACTCTTGGATCACAGCCTGCAAGAAACCTGGAGAGGGGCTTTGGACAAGGGCCTGTAGGGACAGGCCAAGGGGAATGGCTTTAACCTGCCAGAGGGGAGACTGAGATGAGCTCTTAGGCAGAAGCTCTTCCCCGTGAGGGTGCTGAGGCGCTGGCACAGGGTGCCCATAGAAGCTGTGGCTGCCCCATCCCTGGCAGTGTTCAAGGCCAGGTTGGACACAGGGGCTTGGAGCAAGCTGCTCTAGTGGAAGGTGTCCCTGCCCGTGGCAGGGGTTGGGACTGGATGAGGTTTAAGGTCCCTTCCACTCAAAACAGTCTGGGATTCTGTGATACTTTATCAGTTTGCCAATGTAGATGCTATGGGAGCCTTACTACTGTCAAAATAATCAACATCCCCTTACCTCTCTACCCTCATCCATCTTGCCAGACATCTCATCTTCACAGGCTCACCAGGCTGGTGAGGCATCTGACTACTCATAGTCACCTTAACAGTCACAGGCCTCCATAAAGCAACTAAATGACAGGGTCTCACTCTGCTTTGGAGGGTCTTTGCAGGCAAGAAGGTCTTTTGCCACCTCAACCTCAGTCCCCAGAGGAACATGGAGTTCACTGCAAGAGGAGGTTTCCCACACCTGAGATATTTTGCCAGCCTGAACCAATCCCTCCAAAAGTTTCATTGAGTACAAGATGGATTTTCTGGCTAAAAAAGTGAGAAACAAGTGGTGGAGAGCCTGCCTGGCATGGGAGAGACTTTCAAGCCTCAGCAGGTCACCAGATCAGGACAGCTCCAACCTAGGAAGCAGGGCAAATCAGGGAGAGAGTGACCTGGGGCTTCCCAACATCCTGCAACAGCCTGCGGATGCAGCTGGAGTCGAAGCCCCCCTCCACTGCAGAGAGGATGCCAAGGCCTGTGGGTGAGCTCCTGGACCTGCATTTTCCTCTCTAGAAGTACAAAACCGCAGCTCAGCTACCATGGAGCAGCAAGTGAGAGCAGTGGAGTCACCAACCTTCACCAAGTGGCTTGTCTCTGGCAGGGACAGAAGGAAGGTCCAAAGCCCCTGAGACAAGTGATGCTCTGGTCCTCCCCATGCTTACCCTCCCCAGGAGGATCTCTTCTGCACTCCTGCTTGCCTGCATGGTCTTACCCTGCATTACACCCCAGGACGCTGGTGCTGTTGGCTGTGGCAGGCTACCAGTTTACCATGCAAATGGGCAGAGACATCACGAGAGTGGCTGAGCGTGTGCTTTTATTGGGGCCATAGACTCTCTGAGTCCTGACACAGGTATGGGGAGAAGTGTTGAGTTCTGTTGGATTCGTAGCAAGCCCTGGCAGAACCAACTCTGCTTTCCTGGGTTCGTCTGAGCAGCTCTGGGCAGAGGTGTGTAACGGAACAAGAAGTGCCTCCAGCTCTTGGTGAATTGCTGCCAAGCAAAACCAAATTGTGGCTTCTTGCCATGGAAATTAATCATCCAGAAACCAACAGTGGCAGTTTCATGTTCCTGTGTGCTAGCATGTGCACAGGGAACAAATGCAAGATGCATTGCCGGGTGAGAAGGTTTGTGGCTGCAGAACGACAGCTTTGTGGCTAACACCAGCCAGGGGTGGCTTTGCTCATGGGAACTTCACAACTTCTGCTCCCCAGCCTGCCGCCTGCGAGGAGCAACCACAGGGCCAGCAGCACACGAAGCACTGGTGTGGAGGGGAGGTGTGATGGGGCGTGCAGTGTGATCTGCATCAGGCAGCTCCATCCTCCATCTGGCAGCCCTGAGATGGTCAATGGAAGGAAAGGAGACGTCATTTACTGCTAATGAATCTGACAGAGCTGGAGGAGCATCTGCAAGGAGCTGCTGCAGCTGCAGTTGCTTGGTTGTGTCATCGGCACAGACTGTTTAGTGCTGACAAAACTGCCTTTTGTCAGCTGTGATGCTGTTTCCCCTGCAGTGCTGAGGAGCCTTCTGGCAGGGGGGGACCTCTCCCCGGCCATGGGACTCCCAGAGCAGGGCACCCTCAACAGCCTCTGAGGCCAGCTTCTGCTTTCATCTTTCTGCTTCTGTACGCTGCTTTTTGCTTCTCTGTCAAATCCCAGAGCCCTCTGCTGTCACAGTTCCCACAGTCTGGGTAAGCCTGTCACTGTCAAGCTTCCTTTATTACTCCTGGAAATGAGCCATTTTTATCATGTTAGCCTCACCCAGACTGGGGCATGAGATTTGTTTTGGTGCAAGCAGGGTAGAAAAAGAAAGCTTAAATTATTCAAACAGGAAGACTTTAGGGAATGATGTTGTAGTGGGTGTTGAGTCTTTGTCCCCTGTGATAGATGGTGACAAGGATTAGCCCAGAGGCTCTGGGGCTCCTTCAGCCTCCCCCCCCACCCCCCAAATCCTGCTCTCTCCAAGAGCCACAAGGCACATACCCCAGGGCAGGGGGAAGCAGGGCAGTTTGCTACTGCAATGGTGAGGGCTCTGCCCAGGCTGATGGAGAAGCCTCGTCTGCTTTCCCCTGGGGGCACCACTCACCCATGATCGCTGCACCATCCCAGCCTGGCACTGTAGCACCATCAGAAGGACCTTGGACCCTGTAAAGGGCTATTACCCCATTCCAGTCACTCTTGCTGGCCATTTTCTCCTCTTGCCCATAAGCCCACAAGCGGATGGGAGCTCTGGGCCATAGGGTGCCCTGGGGACAACAGCCTTGTCCCTCCACTCGCAGCCTGGGGCAAAGGTGATCCCAGACAGAGCCGAGATCCCCTCTTTCTCCCTGCTCTCACCAGCAAACCATCTACAGCAAGTCCCTCCCGTGGCTGCACGTCCACGAACAGTCCAGAGGGATGCAGGAGGCCGCACGGGGAGGCTGTGGGGTTATGGCAGAACTCCTTGAGCCCTCCCTTCTGCCCCAGGGAATGCTTGTGCCAGGCAGAGCCAGAGCTGGCCCAGGCAGCCAGACAATGGCCCTTTTAAAGAGCACAAGCCCATCTGGGGTAGCAAAACCCTCAACATCACGGGGAGCAGGACCTGCAGAGCGCCCTAACCTACAAACAGCCCCCACACATGGGAAGTGGTTTGCAGCCTTGCAGCAAGCCCAAAATAAACCATGAGGCTGGTAAACATCTGAGCACCACTGCCGGGCTCCGTGCATGACCACGGCACATGGAAAGCTCACACCTCGCTGGAAAGCTTGTGCCTCCCCTCAGTGCTGGGGGGGGACTGACACCTGGCATGTCCCTGCCAGCACACTGCTGCTGGTGGGCACAGGGTCTTCAGGAGCTCCAAGGGCCATGCACAGGGAAGTCCCCAGCTGTGGCAATGGCCCTGACACAAGTTAAAGGCCAACAACCCTGGTCTCAGCCCCCTCTGTGATCAGGGAAAGTCGAGATTCTCGAACATCCCCGAAACACCCGTGGGGTGCAGCCACTCACCCTGTGCTCTGGAGGCCACCCACAGCCAGCCCACTCAAGGCTCCTGGAGAGCTGGGCTCCAGGAGCAGCAACGGCAGTGAAAGCAATGTAGTTCTGCCTGGCTTCTTTTCCTTTTTGTTTGCTTATGACTAGCAAACAAGCCCCACTGGGCTGATTTATAAACT